AAAATTGCCGTCCAATGAATTCTGACTAATAACAGCCCTATAGAATAGAGCAGAACTTCCCCATAAGGTTCCGGGGAGCAACTGGTAGATTTGAACTACCCACTTTTTGGTTAACATTGGAATGCCTAACCACTGTGCCACCAAGGCTTCATGATCCCCCTCAAGGAGCTCTTACTATATTCTTTCCCACCCAGACCTTAAACCTGGCAATGGCAGGGACCATTTTCTATAGGCCCTCACTATGCTCAACCACTATCTGTCAATTGATTGGAAATGGAGGAAACATGTGGATTGTGAAAATGTTCAAGATTGTTTTGGTGACAAACTATAGAATATCTAACAGCAAAAGTAAGTATCAAATTCAGCTTCAGCCTTTGTTCTAGAAAAACAGTTTTTTTTTTACATGAATTTCGGGTGGGGAGGTGATGGAATGTGGGAAATCTCATCTGAAAGAGACCCATTTTCCAATGTCCATATTCAGGACCTAGAGATTTTAGTTCATGCCTCTAAGACCCCTCTGTGTTCCATAAGATTATGCTGACAATGAGATTATGGCCTCATAAAATCTTTTTTGGCTCAAATCAATTCCATGTGGCTGAATACTAAAAGCTCCCTTGTAGAGATAGATACACACTGGAGTGGCATTCTCCTGATCTTTTAACAGAGAATTGGGTCATTGGATTTGCTCATGCAGTCATAATTTTGAGTTAAGCTATTTTATAAAATGGATGAAGTAAAGTGCATATATTTTTTCTTAGAAAATGATTTTTTTAATTTATCAGTACTTACCAAAGCAATTTATATATATATATATATAGATATATATAGATATAGATAATTTGCAAAGCTCACTCAAAGGACAAATTTTATCACAGTTGTTACTATTGTTGGGTGCTGTGGATTCTGACTCAGAGCAACCGTGTAAGACAGGGAAGAACTGCTCCATAGCGGTTTTTATGCCATCACCTTTACAGGGGCAGATATCCAGGACTTTCTTCTTCGAGCCACTGGGTGAGTTCAAACTGCCAACCTTTCCTTTAGCAGCCAAGCACTTAATCATTATGTTAGCAAGACCTCTTATCACCACTGTTGTGTTGTTGAGTAGATTTTTACTCAGAGAGACCATGTAGGACAGAGTAGATTTGCCCCATAGGGTATCTTAGGCTGTGCTCACCAATTCTTTTCTCCAGCAGAGGAACAGTGACTTTTGTTTCACAGTTGAGTGCTGAAGTGTTGTGCCACCAGTGCTCTTTTTATCACCATTAAGTTTATAATGAGTCTATAATTCTAAAGACAATTTTGAAAAATCAGTTTCCAATAATACTTCACCTATGCCCAAGGCAGCAAGTTTTAGATGAGGGGATCATCCCCCCTCAAGGTCACTTCTTTGAAGGACACCATGCCCACTTGGTATGTTTATTTTGAAATTAGACACATTATTTTATGGACATACCTCAGGCCTTTATTTTAATTTCACATGATTTTTCAATCCGGATACCTTTCTGAGAATAGCTTTGGGGGTGCAGCTTGATTTTTTATTTTTAGCTGTGTGTTAGGTGAAACTTTACAACTCAAGTTAATTTCTCATACAAAAATTTATACACATACTGTTATGTGAAATTAGTTGCAATCCCTATAATGTAACAGCAGGTTTCCCCTTTCCACCCCGAGTTTCTTGTGTCCATTCAACCCATTCCTGTCCCTTCCTGCCTTCTCATCCTGCCTCTGGATAGGAGCCGCCCATTTGGACTCATGTGTCTGCTTGAACTAAGAAGCAATTTTAAAAGCACGGCACTATGCCAGTATTCTTTGTTCTTCAATGCTAAACATGGACTTTAGTTTCTATCTTTCTTTAAATATCAAGTTTTCTGGATAGTTCATAATCCTACAAGTGGAGAATAATCAACACACAGGCCCTAGTGAAATACGAACATGGAGAAATAGCACTTGGTAAGTGTCTGAATGATACTTTAACACGTCAAAATTAGAATTTGACAAGGTAGACTGAAGACACTTCTCTAGAATTTAATGAGTGGAAGGCTCTAAGGGATCATATAATTATAACTCTGTCATTTTATAGATTTAAAAAATTGATACCTAGAAGTTTTCATGACTTCTCTAAGATTACATAGTACTTTGCAAGTCTCCAGAACTTCTCACAGCTCAAACTTTCAGCAGAGTAGTCCTCCCATCTGAACTGTCCCCATGCTGTCACTTTCCCCAGAATACCCGTCCCTGGAACATGTTTTCCATTGTGTGTTCATGAAAATTTCTACATTTACCTTAGCCATCTCCTTATACAAGATTCCTAGTTGTTGTTAGAAATTAATGTATCTCACAGATCTCTGTAATCTATAGGATCATTCATTTCTTTTTAGTGTATATCCTTGACTTTCCATTTCTATTATTACTTGTTCTAATAGACAAGTCAAAGTCACTTTTTATACAATATATGGAGTAAGGACTTTGTACAAGTGTTGTATATATGTGAAAGCATTTTGTTTTTTGATGTTTAACCTAGATGAACTCCTTTACCCCCTTCGTATTTAAAACCAAGTGTCACTTCCTTCAGGACCTCTTCCCGATCTCTCAGACCAGGTGAGATGTACTTGTTGGTAAAGCTTTCCATTGAAAACCTCAGCTCCTCCGTTATAACTTTCACCACACTTGCAATTATTTGTTAATGCCAGTCATCTTCCGTACACTCTGTGCTCCTCGAGGGCAGGGACTCCATCTGTCTTAGATACAAGTATATCTCTTGCACACAGTATGCACATGGAAGACGTGTCTTTTGGCCTGGACTTTCTGTTCCAAAAAAAAAAAAAAAAAACAACTCAAACCAAACCCGTCTTATGCAAGAACAATAAATCATTGACTCATGCAACTAAAAAGTCCAGAGATAGTGATGTGTGGTTTCATCACAGTTGGCCTCTTGGATTCAAACTACGTCCGTAGGATGATTTCTCCATTTGTTGCTTCTACTTTTAGATATGTTGTGCTCATGTGATGGCCAAGATGGTAGTGATTGCTCTAGGCTTATCTGATCCTTGATAATTCCAGCCTTAGAAACAGAATCTTTCAGAAAATATCCCAACCATTGGTTCAGATCACTCACTCACTCATGAGTCCACAACCATAGCTTAGGAGTGTGTTGTCCTGACTGCCTTAGTTGGGGTCAGGAGACTTTCCAGAAAGTAAGAGTAGAGGTCAGCCCCTCCTGACCCACATAGGTTAACAGTCGATTGAGAGTGATTTTCAAAGGGAGAAAAGGAGTTCTCTTACCAGAACAGGGGGAAGGAATGCTGGGCAAGCAGAAATATCTGATAACAATCAGAATATTAATTGGTAAAATTTATTGAGTACTTTATGTGGATTTACAATTTAATATGTCCACTAAAATGCTCAGTTAGTAATGAAGCAATGAATGAATGAAAGAATACAAAGTTTCATGTTTAGGCCATTGAACACTGTATGTTATAATGACATATTGGTAATATTATGACTATCACTGTTATCATTATTGTTGTTGTTTACTGCTAGGAAATTTGTAATATAGATCCTCATTCAGTTATAAGTTGTTAATGGATTTTTCTCATTATTTATTAAAAAGCAATATAAAGGGCCAACATACTTGTAGTGGTCTCTCATCCCTTATGTATTTAAAGAACTTAATACATGGCTTTGTTTGTCTTGCAATTTGCATCTCATTTCTGGCTTTTGTTTTTCTGATTTTACCACTATTAGCTGCTATCTCCCTGTGCTCTCTTGGGTAAGCTAAATTTCATCTTGTAATTTTAATATGTATTTTGAGTGTTTACATAGTCAGCTCAGGTTCTACCAAGTCCTTCTACATTTATTTCTCTTTCCACTCCCTTCCCCTCCACACCAGCTTTCGAGTCTTTTTATTAATCCTTTGAGTATCATTCAGCCTTACTAGATTACTTGTCTGTTTAAAGTTGTGTTCAAAGAGATTTGGCTATTTTACTCAACCTATTAATCTTGGAATTCATTTTTTTAATAAATTTTTCCTGTTTTCATTTTTCCCATATTTTTCTTAAGCATTCTAAATTCCACACTAAGAACTTACTCTTTTTCCACTGAGTTTAACCTTTTACAAGGAAATTTAGTTATTCAAAAATTCTTCATGTATATTCCTGAAATCATGAAATTACCTAAACTTATGTGTGAATGTGTATAGATGGATTTTCCAGGGAAAAGGGTGGTATTTCTTATCAGAGTTCACATTTATGACCTATGAATATTTCCGAGTTGTGCTCTCCTCACTGTAATACTTGCTAACATTTTGTGAACTGGACATTGACTGTTCAAACAGAGGTTGAGGGTTAGATTTTTTTTTTTCTTTTTTTTTACCATTATTATATTTTGCCTTTGGCCCATTTCTGTATGTACACTGGTGAGGGTTTCAGAAGAAGGGAGCCCACACTTTTGACAAAATAATCTTCTGTCTTAAGTCAGTGGTCCACAAAGGGAAGACTTCTCAGCAAGACACAGTTTTTGAGAACTTGCTGCTTCTTGGGGAGGTATCATCTCAGGATGAATCACTTCCCTTCCCCGTGTGCTATATCTGCAAAAGCAGAACCTACTCCTTTTCCAGGCTTCCACTGTTTGGGAGACTATTTTTATTGTTGTTATGAGCTGTCAAATCATTTTCCGACTCATAGAAACCCTGTAGGACAGAGTAGAACTGATATAAGATTTCCTGTGTTGTATTCTTTACAGAAGCAAGTTACCAGAACAACTGGTGCTTTTGAACCACAGACCTTTCAATTAACGGCTGAGTGCTTAACCATTGAGCAACCAGCCAGTGCTTCTGTTGCGAGATTAGTGACACATTGTGAATGTTGTCTTCCCCTTTCTCTTTGTTCATGGAGAACTCTAAGTCTCCCTTTAATACTTAGATTTAAATATATTTGTCATTAATCTGGATGTACAAAATCCACATCAAGCAGTGACTTTCTCCTGTTCTTTCTTCTTTGGGTCGTAAATTTCTTCGACATAAATGATGTCATTGTGCTGTGATTCTTCCTCTGTCCACAGGCGTCATTTTCAGTCCTCACTGCATGTTGACTATTTTTCTGACACTGAGCTCTTCCTTCTTCCTTCTTAATTCACCCACACTGCTAGGCGCTGTGTCCCTGGCCATCCAGCAGAACAAATGGGCTCTGAGATTGAAGTCTTTCCCAAGACTGGAGGTAGGCGAATAATTCCCACAGAACTCAGTGAGTGTCATGCTAAGGACTATGTGGAGAGGCCAACAGACTACTTGTAAACAGCAAGTTCTTTAGATTAGAGAGGATATGAACATCAGTGCTATGAAGCCAGTTGGTCTGAGGCAGGCAAAGAAGAGGTCAAAGGATTAAGACTAGGATATAAAGGGCTAGCAGGATTGAGCTTTATGACTTGGTTAGGCTGAAATAAAATGGATAAACGGAAATGGATAAATGGATAAGAGGAAAAATGGATAATCCTTGTGATTCCTCTCTATAATCTAAGCCTCCCTCTGCAACTTTATTTCATGGTCAGTGACCTGTTGATATATACTGTGTGTGGGTGTGCGTGTGTGTGTGGTGGTATAGAAATTGTATCAATATATGTATATTGTTGGCCAGTATGATTGGGAAGAACATGAAACATCATTTTAATCTCTATTAAGTATATATTATAGGAAGATATTTCATTAAAAATGTGTCTTCTGCAACCTTAATTTTTCAAGATAATCATTGTTCATAATGGCCACAGGATTTTTGTGGTCTGATGGTTGATTTAAATGGAATCATTTTGATAAGAGTATTGTTACACAAATGCTCGATGGAATTACTTTCAGAGGTATATTTTGAAAGCTTAAAAGTAGTGACCATGAATTATTTCTCCTTCCACAGCATAAACATTCTGAAGAAATCTAGTATTCATTCATTTTGGACTGTTTTCTACATTTAGGTTTTGGAATTCAAGTGAAATGGAATTTCATTTGTGTTTTACTCTTTTTTGTCTGCAGGTTATGTGCACCTCTTACAATTAACTCAGAAATGGACCAGCTTTTTATAGTAGAAAAAATAATGTTAGTTACTGCGATAACTGTTCAGGCTAATAGGAAAAGCAATACTACTAAGGTAAGACAATGAAGAAAAAATGGGGGAAATATATGGAGAAAGAAATGCTCAAGCAGGCATTCACAAGGTGTCTAGGTGTCATCAGTTAATTGTAGAGAAAGATACACATACTGTGGTATTTTTTTAAAAAGTAAAATAATGCATACGAACTTCCAGTTCAGTACCAAACTAAATGATGCAACACGGCTGCTGCTAAATTATCTTAAAAATTCCACATCTTCCTCTTCTTAATCATTTTTTATTCTAAATATACTTAGAACCTCTTTCAAAATAATAGAGTAAATGAATTCACTGTAGGTCAGAGTTCAACTATTTCATTATAATCTTTTATTTCAAAGATTTTAGAGAGCTGTCTCATTAAGTATGAGTTCCCCAAACACGATCATAATTAATAATGATAAGAAAATAGAAAAGAGTTGAATTATGTATTGTGGAATGAAGAGTTAGTCATGGTGAATTTTAATAATATGAATAATTCATATGCAGGAAATTTAAAGATAATTTTAATATAAAGATGATAAGATTTTTTAGGTTATTTGATGCACTGGCTCATGCAATAAGACAGGTTTTGAAATGGAAAAAATAACATTTAGAAAAAATAACATTTGGGGACATTAAGGAAATAGTTTTTTTGAAACGTGTCAGAAATTAAGAGATATGTCTTTAAAACTGCTGTAACTAACCAAGTCAGCCTCATCCCAGAGGTCACCCTGTTCAATCCCAGCCTGGTAAACTGCAAAAGATAGTAAAGACAGACATCTGATAGAACAAGGGAATGGAAGTATTCTGCAACCTTCACTGACATTATTTAAAACTTTCTATTTTGAACTAATTATGGACTAACAAGCAGTAACATAAAGTATACTAAGAAGCCTCATATTCCTTTCATCCAGCTTTATCCAATATTAGCATCTTATATAACTGTAGCACATTATCAAAACCAATTGACATTGGTGCAATACAGTTAGCTAGACTACAGATCTTACAGTTTTTACATGCACTATTTTTGTTTTGTTTTGTTTTGTTTTGTTTTGGGTGGAGGGAAGATGAGGCTTGAAAATTATGAGTTGAGAATATTTCACATATGTTCGCAAAGTCATAATGGACAAAGCCTCTAACATTTTCAATTCTTTCTTCTTTCTGTCTCTTCTTCCTTCTTACTCTCTGTTTCTCTCTTTCTTCCATCCTCTCACATTGAGCACCAGTTTAGTGCCAGGCACTGTGCTATGTGCTGGGGAAAGACTGGTAAACACAGTATGGACCACACCCTCCTTCATTGTCATCCCTCCCCTATTTTTATTTTTTTTTTATTGTTCTTTAGGTGAAAGTCTACAGCTTAAGTTAGTTTTTCATACAAAATTTTATACACACATTATTATGTGACCCTAGTTGCTATCCCTGATAATGTGCCTTACATTCTTCCTTTTCACCTCAGATTTCCTGTGTCCGTTCCACAAGCTCCTATCCCATTCTGCCTTCGTGTCTCGCCTCGAGACAGTAGCTGCCCATTTAGTGTCCTGTATCTACTTAAACTAAGAAGTACACTCTTCACGAGTATCATTTTATGTATCATAGTCCAGTCTATTCTTTTTCTGAAGAGTTGGCTTCAGTAACGGTTTTAGGTCTGGGTTAACAGAGAGTCTGGGGGCCATGTGTTCTGAGGTGCCTCCAGTCTCAGTCAGGCCATTAAATCTGGTCTTTTTACTAGAATTTGAGTTCTGCACCTCACTTTTCTCCTGCTTCATAAGGGACTGTCTGTTGTGTTCCCTGACAGGGCTGTCATTGGTGGTAGCTGGGCATCATCTAGTTCTTCTGGTATCAGGCTGGTGGAGTCTCTGGTTTATGTGGCTCCTTTTGTCTATTGGGCTAATATTTTCCTCATGTCTTTGGTGTTCTTCATGCTCCTTTGCTTCAGGTGGGTTGGGAACAATTGATTCATCTTAGATGGTCCATCTCTAGCTTATAAAACCCAGACACCACTCACCAAAGTAGGATGCAGAATATTTTCGTAATAAATTTGTTATGCCAATTGACCTAGATGTTCACTGAAACCATGGTCCCCAGACCCCTGCCTCTGCTACATTGTCCCTTGAAATGTTTAGTTGTGTTTCATAAACTTCTTAGCTTGAGATTTAGTCCAGTGGTGCTGACTCCCCCTGTATTGTGTGTTGTCCTTCACTTCACCTAAGATAATTCTTGTCTACCATCTAGTTAGTGATTCCCCTTTCCATCCCTCCCTAACTTCATAACCATCAAAAAATGTTCTGTGTTTAAACCTTTTCTTCAGTTCTTATACTAGTGGTCTCATACAATATTTATCCTTTTGCCACTTACTAATTTCACTCAGCATAATTCCTTCCAGATTCATCCATGTTATGAGATGTTTCACAGATTCATCGATGTTCTTTATCATTGCGTAGTATTCCATTTTTGGATAAGCCATAACTTGTTTATCCATTCATCTGTTGTTGGGAACATAGGTGGTTTCTGACTTTTTGCTATTGTGAACAGCACTGCAGTGAACATGGGTGTGCATGTATCTATTCGTGTGACGGCTCTTAATTCTCTAGGATATACTCCAAGGAGTGGGATTGCTGGATCATATGGTACATCTATTTCTAGCTTTTTAAGGAAGCACCAAATCAATTTCCAAAGTAGTTGTATCATTTTACATTCTAACCAGCAGTGTATAAGTGTTTCAGTCTCTCCAAAACCTCTCCAATATTTATCATTTTGTGTTTTTTGGATTAACGTTAGCGTTCTTCAGGTGAGATAATATATTATTGTAGTTTAGATTTACATTTTTCTAATGGCTAATGATAGTGAGCGTTACCTCATGTATCTGTTAGCTGCCTGAATGTCTTCTTTGGCAAAGTGGCTGTTCATATCCTTTGCTTTTTTTAACTGAGTTATTTGTCTTTTTGTTATTGAGGTTTTGCAGTATTTTGTACATTTTAGAGATTAGACACTGATAAGATTTGTTGTAGCCAAAATTTTTTTCTCAGTCTGTACATTGTCTTTTTACACTCTTGGTGAAGTATTTTGATGAGCATAAGTGTTTGATTTTTAGGCGCTCCCAGTTATCTAGTTTCTCTTCTGGTGTTTGTGCATTGTAAGTTATGTTTTGTATTCTGTTTATGCTGTGTATTAGAACTCCTATCGTTGTCCCTATTTTTTCTTCCATGATCTTTATAGTTTTTGATTTTATATTTAGGTCTTTGATCCATTTTCAGTTAGTTTTTGTGCATGGTGTGAGGTATGGGTCTTGTTTCAGTTTTTTGCAGATGGATATCCAGTTATGCCAGCACCATTTGTTAAAGAGACTGTCTTTTCCACAGTTAGCAGACTTTGGGCCTCTGTCAAATATCAGCTGCTCACAGGTGGATGAATTTGTGTCTGGATTCTCAATTCTGTTCCATTGGTCTACGTATCTGTTGTTGTACCAGTACAAGGCTGCTTTGACTACCGTGGCAGTATAATAGATTCTAAAATCAGATAGTGTGAGGCCTCCCACTTTGTTCTTCTTCTTGAGTATGCTTTAATTTTCTGGGGCCACTTCCCTTTCCATGTGAAGTAGGTAATTTATTTCTCCATCTAATTAAAAAATGTCGTTGGAATCTGGATCGGGATTGCATTGTATCTATAGATCACTTTGGGTAGAACTGACATATTCACAATGTTGAGCCTTCCTATCCATGAGCAAGGTATGGACTCTTCTTGGTTTCTTGCAGTAGTGTCTGGTAGTTTTCTCTGTATAAGTCTTTTACATCTCTGGTTAGATTTATTCCTAAGTATTTCATCTTCTTGGGGGCTATTGTAAATTGTATTGATTTGGTGATTTCCTCTTGGAAGTTCTCTTTTGATGTAGAGGAATCCAACTGATTTTTGTATGTTTATCTTGTATCCTGATACTTTGCTGAAATCTTTTATTAGTTCCAGTAGTTTTCTTGTGGATTATTTGTGGTTTTCTGTGAGATGATATCATATGCAAATAGAGATACTTTGACTTCTTTCCTACCAATTTGGATGCCTTTTATTTCTTTTTCTAGCCTATTTGCTCTGGCTAGCACCTCTAGCACAATGATGAATAATAGTGGTGATAAAGGACATCCTTGTTTGGTTTGCATTCTCAAGAGGAATGCTTTCAGACTCTCTTCCTTTAGGACAATGTTGGCTGTTGGCTTTGTATCAATGCACTTTATTATGTTGAGGAATTTCCCTTCTATTCCTATTTTGCTGAGAGTTTTTATCATGAATGGGTGCTGAACTTTGTCAAATACCTTTTCTGCATCACTTTATAAGATCATGTGTTTCTTGTCTTTTGTTTTATATATGTGATGGATTACTTTGGTTGTTTTTCTAATGTTGAACCATCCCTGCATACCTGGTATGAATCCCACTTAGTCATAGTGAATTAGTTTTTAGAGATGTTATTGAATTCTATTGGCTAGATATTTGTTGAGGATTTTTGCATCTACATTCACAAGGGATATTGGTCTATCATTTTCTTTTTTTGTATTGTCTTTACCAGGTTTTGGTATCATGGATATGCTGGTTTCATAGAAAGAGTTTGCGAGTATTCCATAATTTTCTATGCTCTGAAATACCTTTAGTAGTAGTGGTGTTAACTGTTGTCTGGAAGTTTGGTAGAAGTCTCCAATGAAACCATCAAGGCCAGGACTTTTTTTGTTGTTGTTGTGAGTTTTTGAATTACCTTTTCAATGTCTTCTTTTGTTATATGTTTATTTTGTTGTTCTACCTCTGTTTGTGTTACTTTAGGTAGGTAGCATGTTTCTAGAAATTTGTCCACTTCCTGTAGATTTTCAAATTTGTTGGAGTACAATTTTTCATAATATTCTGTTATGATTCTTTTAATTTCAGTCGGGTCTGTTGTTTTATGGCCCATCTCATTACTTATTTGAATTATTTGCCTCCTCTCCTGTTTTTCTTTTTTCAGTTTGGCCAATGGTTTATCAATTTTGTTGTTTTTTTTGTAGAAC